AAACAGATTCTTACTAACAACTAAAATCATGGTTCGATACAATTGATAAAGCACCCTTATTAAACGTACATATGTTTCAACCATTACCATCCAATAATACAAGGTGAGCTTGTTAATATATTATGAATTCATTTTTTTTGTCGATATGAATTAGCCCTTTTTCCTTTCTTTCAACGAGAACTTGTTTCCTTATTTGACTACGTAATTTTTGTCTCTTTTTTTTTTTAGTTCATCAACTTCATTTTTATTATCTGGTTATGGTGTTGCTAATACATATACATCAGATGATATTGTTCGTCGTTGGATTTATATTTTTGAGAATTGTTTTTAAAAACAAATTCGTATTATTGGTTTTTCAACAGGTGTTATTCTATTTCTTAGTCTATTCTTACCTAGTCTTACTGTAAACAGAAATGACTATGAACTGTATTGACACGCTTTTCTTTCTCTTACAATAGATGGTGATAACAAATATATGAAAGCAATGCGTTTAATGAGTGGATTCTTTGCATCTCTTCCAAATATGAAATTACATCAGCGACCAGAAGCATTTGAAATACATTTACCATCAAAATGGCCGTGGTTTTATCTTCGACGACAACAGTTATTATTATTTCTACAGGATCCTACACATTTAGCTACAAAGTGGAGAAATCGTTTATTATCTTCAGCAGATATTATCGTTTCTGAAATCGTTTATTATTCAACACATATTGTACGTAGTAATCCCAAGACATCAGGAACATTTGTTTATCTTCATATTTCATTCTTATTCAAACCAGTGAGTGTCCGTTGAATACAAGCAACTTCTGATTTTAGCATGTATCAAACTTACAGCAGACCTTCAGCTTTCAGATAGAGATAGATATACATGTTGTAGCAAAACCTAGAATTCGGTGAAATTCTAGAGTTCTCTGGCGAAAACTGGAATTCGAGTTCTTCTCGACGAAATTGAAATGTATGCTCAATTCCACTTTTCTCCAATGAAATTTTAGATTTCGCTGGATGAAACTGGAATCCAAGTTTTTCCTAGAGAAAACTGACGAGTGAACCTCCCCAGGTTGCAAATTGCTTTCGGGCTAAAACCTAGTGGGTCATAGGTAATCAAGGGTGCTGATTCTGAATATCACAATGGTTTGGGCCGATATGTCTCTGGAGATCCCGGTTTTTGGAAGACCAGTTTTTCTGAAACTCAAAAAAAAATAACCAAAACCTTTCTTAATAAGGCCTGGTTGTAGCCTGCATATTTCTGATTAAAATGCGACATCTCCCAGCTCTACACGACCTTTCTTTGTAAAGTTATAGAATTTACAAGAAAAGTCCTAAATTAATTTCTTCTTATTTCTGCAGCTTTGAGCTGATAATGAACAATTAGGACTTTTCTTGTAAATTCTATAACCTTGGATAGAAAGGTTGTGTAGAGCTGGAAAGTGTCTCATTTAATCAGAAATGTGCAGGCTACAATCAGGCCTTATTAAGAAAGGTTTTGGTTATTTTTTTGGAGTTTCTGAAAAACTGGGATCTCCAGAGACATATCGGCCCAAACCATTGTGATCAGCACCCTTGATTACCTATGACCCTCGCGAGATGCATACATATGCCGATTCCACTTCTCCTTGTATACTACTATCGCCACAGTATTATAATGCACATTGCCGTTTCTTGAATAACTTCGGAACGATAACAACTAGAGTCTTGCGGCTTTCAATGCTCAAAAGCAGACACCGGGGGAATTAAACCTATGTAACATTCAAAACGGTTTAGACATCTTCTAGTGCCACCTATCAGGCCATCTTAAGATGGACGGTCGCATTCCCGAAATCCCCAGAGTACTCAGGTGTTCTCTAACATTGATCCGTAGTGGGGAACGAAATCTTGAAATATTCAACTCGACTTTTGACGCTGATTTCGAATATGATATTTTCATTGCGTAAAAGCTGAGTTCTGATGGAGAAAATTGCTAATAAGGGGCAGAATTCCGAGTTTTCCCAGTAAAGTCGACTTTTATCAGCGAGGAAACAAAATTTTTCCAAACCGATACCAGCGATTATGAGCTATCTACGCATAATTCGAATGATATATGAATATCGGGGAAAGCGCTTCAAAGAAAAGAATACATAGGTTTGCGAGAACAGGGTGTCATTTTGCCGCTTGCTGGTCATAGTCGAGACCGCTAAGGGAGAAGAGTGTCGTGATGAAATTCTCTTGTCTTTACGTACATACACTCAGTTTCTGATGCTAAAGCCCAATAGAATGGTTTCAGAAAAATTTCGATACAGTTACATTACCTCGAACCGCCATTATGTCGACATAGATCATAGGAATTTCTTTTCCAGCTATAGTACCCCGCACTTTAAAATTTATTCTGAAAATTTTCACTTTAAAATTTTCAGTCCGTACTATAGTTGGGGAAAAAATTGCTATGGTCTATGTGGACATAATGGCGGTTCGCCGTAATGTCATGTCACGGACAAATTCAATCGGTGTAAACGGGCAAAATCTTGAATGTTCTCGAACTCTGTCAAATTTTCATTTTTTGACCGTTAACTCATATTTTAAAAATTTCTTATCCAAAACATGGTTTAAAAAATTAAAATGCAATCTGAGGGGTCTGGTTTTTGCTGATTGAAGAATCCGTACAATTATTATTCGAATGTTAGCTGAAGAATATTTTTCCAGGATTCATAATATTTAATGGGTCGATTGTACGCTTTAGTTTTCTCATTAGTTCAACACTTTCAATACCTAATTCACGTTCTAAATATTCACGTTTACCAATACCAACACCATGTTCGCCAGTACAAGTACCTTCCATTGATATTGCACGTTCTATCATACGAGAATTGATAGTCGATGCAATTTTCATTTCCGATGGATCTGATGGATCAATACACATTAATACATGAAAATTTCCATCACCGACATGACCAACGATTGGTGCAATAAACTGAGGATGTTGTTGTATATCTCGTTTAGTTTCGTCAATACATTCAGCTAAACGACTTATTGGTACACAAACGTCAGTTGTCCATACACGCCCATTTGGTCTATATGCCATAGTAGCCCATAATGCTTGCTTACGAGCATCCCAAATACGATTACATTCGATGGGATCACTTGTATAAACGAGTGGACCTAATGCCATATGAGATTTTACAATTGATTCAACTTTAGAAATGTCATCAGCAACCGAACCTTTTGACCCATGAAATTTAAAGAATATTGAGGGTTTTTCAGCATAAGTAAAATTACTATAAGCATTTACTATACGAATGCATACATCATCCAATAATTCAATGCATCCTAATTGAGCACCATTACGTTCAATTGCACTTGCAGCAGCTGCAGCTGATTTTATACTATCAAACTGACATATTGCAACAGCTGTTTGTTCAGGAATATTATGCAATTTTAATGTAACTTCAGTAATTATTCCAAGTGTACCTTCCGAACCGATAAATAATCGCGTTAAATCATAGCCGGCACTTGACTTACGTGCCCGTTGAGCTGTTTTAATAATTGTGCCATCAGCCAATACAACTGTAACATTTACAACATTAAATTTCATTGTACCATATCGCACTGCATTTGTGCCTGAACAACTTGTACCGACCATTCCACCAATGCTTGCACCCGGGCCCGGATCAACAGGAAAATATAATCCTGTTGATTTCAATTCATCATTTAGATGATGATATGAAACTCCAGGTTCAACGGTAACTTGCATATCCTCAGCATGTATTTTTAATATACGTTGCATATGGCTCATATCGACGGTAAGACTACCATTATTTGGCGCACTTGTATGGCCTTCGAGTGATGTTCCTGAGCCGTACGGTACTAATATAAACTTATATTTACTAGCAATTTGAGCAATTTTCGAAACTTCTTCTGTACTCATTGGATAAGCAACGGCTGCTGGTAATGGACCAGAGTGGTATGAACTAGAATCATTTGCATGTGCTGAACAATCATCCTTATCCATTGTAAAACGGCTACCTAATAATGACGAAAGCTCTTTACAAGCTTCGGACGGTAATGTACTTGACGCTGGCGTGCTGCCAGCCATTCCATTAGCTGATTTAATTGCAGTAGCAGCACCATCCACTTCAGCAGCAAGATGTGATTTTTGATGTAATAAAAGTGTGGCTGCTGCCGTCGCAGAAATGGTTGTTACAATCAATGTAAGTGAACGATTTGCAGTTTTATTAATATTGGTAGAATGTGAATGTTCGATCCGATTAATGCGAATTCTCATATTTGTGAATTTAAATTCATTACGAACAGTGTTATAAGATTTAAGTACACCGTTTCTCATCGACGTAGATACAAAACTAAGAAACTTGCTCATTGGTGATTTCTAAGGTGTTCTTGGTGATAATAGTTGTGTGTATGAAAAGGTTTGAACCAAAATTTAACGTGATAGATTGAAATATAATCTCATACACTATCTGTTTCCATTCAGAAATAAAATTCAACTATAGCTTTGATCTTTTTTTCATGAATAATCGTTTACTATCAAAACGATGGTTGCATCTGTTAGCACGTTGTTATGCAAAGTATTATTCGTATTCAGCATGTGAATAGTAACTTGTACTGTAAAAGCGTTTTGCGTTTTGATGAAACCAGTGAAGTATAACTAACTTACAATGGCTATATTACTCATACAACCAACACGTATGGACAATGAGAAGGTTGATTTCTAATGCTTCATATAAGTAAAATTCATACTGTTTTCTCTCAAATGGTGTCTATAATATGACGGTTTCCGTCGGTCCAACGCGTGTTTTGCATGTTTTTGATGACCGGATCGACCGACCTAGATTGTCAGAGAATTTCAATGGCAACCCAACAGTATAGTTTTAAAAAATATATATGAAGAAATGAGAAAGTAATCGAAAATCGACTTGCCCGATTTTAGGCGAAAACGGCTAAGTTTTAATAAAATTCAAATATCTCAAGACCGAGAATTTTTTTTAAAAAAGCGACTGATATTTTTTTTCTA